AAAGACTAATGAATACCATAATCGAGTAAAAAAGAAAGAACTATCTTGGTAAGGCGGAAAAATGCCAAAATTTATCATATAATAGTGGGGGATAGTTTGATCATTCTAACATCCAACAATAAAAAAAATTGAATATTTGGCGACCAATATCGACAAGTATCTACTTTATTTATTGTTATCTGTAACACCCCAGTTTCAAGAATATATTGGTGCATGCAGGGCAATTTAAAAGAATTGATTTGGCCACCTATATCATCAAACTGTACTTATCTTTTCGGTCAAACGTTATGAGAGAATTCCACAGTTAAGCGTATTTCAGATGGAAAAGTTTCAGTATGGGTGACCTTTCGGAAAGTGATTGTCGGAACTGTATGAGTGAGAACAAAAAACAAGAAAAGATCATGTGGTGATTTTTAGGGTTTAGATAACTAAAGAATCAGATAACTAATTTAAATAGCTAGGTTGATTATTTTAACATCCAACAATAAAAACTTGAAAATTCAGCGACCAATATCGACAATTATCTACTTTATTTATTTTTATCTCTCAATAAAATTTTAAAAGTCGGTGATCACATTCAAAACATCAAAACACTTTTACTAAATATGTAATAAAAACTTTGAAAGTCGGCGATCAAGAATAAATTATCACACAACATTTTTATTTATATATTTTTGATATTCTAATAAAAAAGTTGAAAAGGCGGCGATGACAAATAAAGTATGAGACAAGTAATTTACATGGATAGTTGATACTTTTAAACATCCAAAATAAAAACTTGAAAAGTCGGCGATCAATATTAAACAAGTATCTAATTTGTTAAGTTTTTATCAAACAAAAAAAAACTGAAAAGTTAGGGATAATTGCTCAAATATTATTTAATATGCAATTAAAATTTTGAAAGTCGGCGATCAAACTAATGTAAGTATTAGACAATTTTCTAAGTTATGTAGTTTTAGTAGTACAGTATAAAGTTGAAAATTCGGCAGTGACATATGAAGTACCAAACAACTAATTTATAACATCCAAAATTTTAATAAGAATTGAAAAATAGGCGATCAGTATTAGAAAGGTTTCTAATTTATGTGTTTTTATTACAAAATAAAAACCTGAAAAGTCGGCGATCATTGTTAAAATATCAAATACATATTATTTAATATGCAAGAAATTGTTTTAAAGTCGGGATCAAACTTAAATTTCTATTATATTACGAATATTAAAACATATTGTTCTAAAGTAAAATATGTCAATTTATACAAAAACAAAAACCCAAAAATAAGTTAGACATGATATTACATTTATGCATTATTTCATAAAAGTTTTGAACATTGAAAATAAATAAATAAAAATAAGAAACTTCATATTTCTATTAGTTTGATTAATAAAAAATGTCAAAAAATGATATTGATATTTTGACTATAGAAAAAGTAGTGAAAGATAAACACATTAAAAATCTTACAATTTTTTGTGCATATCCTTTAACCAATAAATAATACCTATATTTAACAGTTGGTAATAAAAATAAAATCTCCAAATTTATTGAAACGATGACAGGTTGTCAACATATATAATAAATATATGATTATATGACAGCTAAAATATAATAATTATATACCTTTTATCGACAAAATGTGTAAACCATTATATACTCCAAGAATGGTAATCTATAATTGTATTTTTAGTAAATCAAAATAGGAAAAGATATTTACTTTTAAAAATTAAAATATTTACTTGTAAAATTTAATCTATAAATACAAATGCTTATTATCTCTAATACTCTAATACAATCAATTCACTTTTTCTTTGTTGAAAACATCTAGAAAATGGTGAGAAAGAATCTTGGCCGTAGAAAGATAGAGATAGAGAATATAAAAAATCAATCAAACCTTCAAGTTACATTTTCAAAGAGAAGATCTTGTCTTTTTATAAAAGCCAGTGAACTTTGCACGTTATGTGATGTAGAAATTGCGATCATCGTGTTTTTCCCAGGTGAAAAAGTTTACACGTTTGGACATCCAAATGTTAACGTTTTACTTGAACACTTTTCAGGACCTGTTCTAAGAGATAACAACACAAACCTTGTTGAAAGCAACAGAAAGCTCGACATTCAAATGCTCAATGATTCCTTAACTGAGGTAAATCTCAATTGGTGGCAACATATAATCTTATATAACTGTTTCAAAATTTGTTTTTGATTTGAAAAAATATATGGTAAAACTCCTTTCCAAGATGCACAACTCTTTGATTTTAACATTCTACCCAAAGATTTTTAATAAGTGATACACTAGAAAAAATCGTCTCGTTTTCTATTTGTGTTTAATTCATGGTTCTTCTTTACACAATCATATTCATGATTTTAATTGTTTAAAATACGATTTTTCTGTAGGTGATGGCCGAAAAGGAAAAAGAACAAAGAAACAAGCATTCGTTAGTCCAAAATGAAAGAGAAAACAAGAACGCTGAGAAGTGGTGGGAAAAATCTCCAAAAGAACTCAACCTAACTCAATTAACATGTATGAAACATGTTCTTGAAGATTTGAAGAAGAAAGTTGATGAAATAACCTCTTACGTTTTTCAGACAAACCCAAACTATTATGTCAGAAGTTCTAGCAATTTGTTTAGAAGGTACGATTGTATAAACATATGGTTCTCTCTGCAAATATGCACAATATGAAAGATGCGATGCGTGTTTGCTTGCTCTCTCAATCTCTTGTGTAGGTTTTCATTTTCATTATTAAGTTGGTGTGATTTTCTGCATAAAATCCAAAACAAATTCTGATATAGATGTTTCATTGCTACATCTATGTCACCCTTTCATAGATAGAATTCTGTCAGGTGTAAATACAAGTTTTTAAAAAAACATCACGTAAAATTCTTTGTAATAATCACTAATCAGTTTCGCTTTGTCGAATCAAAGCAAAACAAGTAAGAAAACAAAGAGTATGGCCCTGTTCGGGAACAAGTTGTTGGCGACTACTCTCGCGACAAACAAATAAAAGGCAAAGGAAGTAAAAAAACAGAGATGAATTAATAAAAAGCTGTCTCCGGCAATTGTTTTTGATGTTGCTGATTCCGAAAGACGATCGCTAGAATTTTCAGCGACTGAACTTTTGTCTTCGTCAAAAAAAGGAAAGCAGTCACCGAAATTAATTAAGAGAAATGATTAACTTTTTTTCTTCTATTTTTTACCCCTAAAAGCAGTCGCCAGCGACACTTTCCATATGATATTAATTAAATAACAAGATTTACATTCTCTGAATCAGCTCTGCTAATTTCGGTAAAATTCAAGTGCGATAGTTGACTCCAAGTCAACCTTACCAATCTCTTATCATAGAAAACTTTTCATATGAAAGTCACAACTACTCTAGAAGACCGGCGTTATTCAACAACAAAAAAAAAAAAAAAACCATTGTTGTTTATTTATGCAGTAATATTTTTATTCACTCTTAACTTCACATTTCCTATATGTACAACCTAAAACCGGCTAATGTGAAATTGAAATTGAGCAATTGCAATAATGAAGAAAACACAATTAGCTTCCCTTCTCCTAAGTTTGCTTCTTATACTTCTATCTCCATCCTTTCATGATCCAGTCTCGGGGGCTAGACTCCATTACGTTGGTTAGTAATATTATCTCTTTATTCCGATAAATTAGCTACGCATTGTTTTTTTACCATCTAGTAATTTTATTAAGAGAAACTCCTGAGATTACATGGTTTTAATAGAGTTACATATCTTAATATTTAAAATGAAATTAATAATATGTATATATATAATTTTCCAAAACTATAATTAATGAAAAGATAACCAAAAAAATTATATGAATTAAAACAACTCACTTCAGAAATCCAAACCAATGGTACAACAGTAATGTATATATTTTTACTTTATAGCTTCATCGTTCACGTTTTAAAATAGTTTTCGATGGATATTACTTTTTGTTTGATCTCATCTTTTATTAGTCTTTTTTACATATCGATTCTTATGTATCAATTTTGCATTTCCAGTTCGCATTCCCATTCATTCTAGGGGATCCACTCAATCGTCGTCATCGTGTGGAAGTGGTATTTATCACGTTGCCGGAGCAACAGAGATCTTGTGTAGACACCCCAAAACCCCCAAAAACCCGTATGTTCATGTAAAAAATTGACTTCTCGTAAGAGTTAGTAACTTTGAAGAAGACAAATCGAGTATTAAATTCCCAAAATATCAAATGTTTGTTAGTCAATAAAAAGAAAGAATAAGTGTTGCTTTTTCTCGTTTTCTGTTTTAGCCAAGTCTTATGCAACTTTCTTTGCTTATGTATCTTTTATTTTGAGAATAATTTCGCAAATATAATTTGTGGGTTTTGGACCGTGAATGTTGTTTGATCAGACAAGTTATTTCCAATTTCATGGCTATCTACTATATATGTAAAGTCGTGATTATAAAGGGATATGCCGTCACGTAAATATAAAGACAAATCCAAATTTTTGTTGCTAAATGACAAATCCAATTTTTCTTCTTTTATTTAAGAAAAATGTTTTGCAGCTACACGAAATAAACGCTATCACATAGCCATGCAGACTTTTAAAATGTCTCGTTAGCTACAAGAAGTATTGTTATGACATACAAACATCTCCAGACAAACATAAGTCATATTGCAAAATACTATAAGGTCCATAACCATCCTATTTCGGTCGTTGACTGGCATTGACCGATGTTGACCGGCGTTGACCAAAAAATATTTATTTTAGGTATATTTTGTTATATTAGATTTTGGTAAAATTGTGTAGTAATTGTATATTTTTAATTATTTTTTGAATATATTTTTTTGTCAACATCGGTCAACGCCGGATTCCGGTAACCGGAACACAGAAGTAGGATAGTTATGGTGTTTGCGATATGACTTATTTTGTTTGTGGATGTCCGTATGTGATGGTAATAGTTCGTGTAGCTAACGAAACATTTTTAAAGTTTGCGTGTGTGACTATGTGATGGCGTCTCTTTCGAGTAGTTGGCAAACATTTTTCTTTTTATTTACGATTATGAACCAAACCAGAAGAATCGGCTCTCTCAATACCCAAACCGGAAACAAAATCTTAACCGGGTATCTCAATAAACATTTACATTGATATCTATTATCTACACTTACCACCTTTTTATTGTTTTATACCATTTCTCCGGACTGTTACATTCCTTACAAAAGATCATCATCTTCAAATTCCGTTACTCCGAGCATCGCAAGCGTAAGATGACTCTTCATCTCAGATTTTGTCCGCTGCAACTGCGGATAACAATCCATCATACCCGGAAGATTTGATTTTTTTCGGCTTGAAAACGCCCTTAGTTCTATCCCTTCACCGCCTTTTAGGATTGAAAGTATCTCCTTCATCCCCGGTCTTCGCGACTCCTCATTGATCACACAGGCCGCTGCAGCTCGGATCATACGCTCCATCGAAACCGAATTCTTTCTTGTACATTTCAGCCTGGAATCAAGCAACTCCTCTATAGCTTCAATCCCTCTATGTAACAACGGTTTTGCCTACACACAAAAAAAGCATAAAACCAAGCCATTGGTGCAAGCAGAAATGAAGTCCAAATGGTTATTAGACAAATTAAATGCCTTAAATTGTATTAAACCAGAATTTGTTGCTCAACCAAGCTTGACCAAAACCCGAATTTAGTATGTGAGTCACAAATTTGAATGGATATATGGAGAAGCGTCCATTTCTTGGTTGGAACTTAGAAATTCCCTTCCCATTTTTAGAAAAAGAGGCTTGTGGAATTTAAGGTGCTACAACTACCAAAAGTCAATGGGTTGGTTTACTAGTAGTTAACTAATTATCAATGAAAGACGCATACACTTACCCAAACTACCAAATTTTCTTCACCAGATGGTCTTCTTGCTTCAATTGGCTTCCGACCAGTTATTAGCTCAAGCAACACGACTCCAAATGCGTAAACATCGGTCTTGTCAGATATCTTGCCGTGTTGGAAATACTCAGGAGCTAGATAACTGCAAGAAATTTCCAAATATGGTGCACACTTTTAGATCCATTGTAATGACATCATGGCATTAAAAGGTTTTCAAGTTAGATACCCGAAAGTTCCTTTCACGGTTTTACAGAGGAAATGAACCGAAGGTGCAGCGGTCCAAGTCGCCAACCCAAAATCACACAACTGAAAGAAAGACTCCAACAATGAATACAGAACACACGTATGGTGATAAACTCCAACAATGGTTCAAAGTCTCTTTACCTTTGGAATTTTGTTTGAGGAAAGAAGAATATTTGAGGGTTTGATGTCTCTATGAACAACACATTGCTCTGTGCCATGATGTAAATAGGCTATGGCATCTGCAATACCCAAGGCAACCTTGTATCTTGTAGACCAAGGGAGATTCAAGGGGGTCTTCCTACCCTTCTTTTTCTTCTTATCTAATTCGAAGCCGAGTAAAACCCGTCAACAATGCACAACTTTCAATCTGATGATAAAGAAAGAGAGGAGATATAGTAATTACCATGTAAAAAGCGTTCGAGGCTGCCACCAGAGACATACTTGTACACCAAGAAAAGCCCTTGATCGGGATCAATACAGAACCCTAGCAGAGGCACAACGTTAGGGCATTTAAGAGAGCTTGCAATCATCAACTCTCTGCAAAACGACTTTGGTGATTCTTTATCTTTTTTATCAAGTCTTTTGATGGCTACGGCTTTACGCCAAATCCCGATTCTTCCCTTAAACACATAGCTACAAGCTCCTCTTCCCAACACTCTACCTAACCAATTTCAACACAAGAAACAGAGTCCTCAACTTTAACTTGATTCAAAGACCTAACATATCAAATTACTAAAAAATGGACATTTTGAGGGTTTAGGGTTTACGTTTTGAGAAATTTCGTGTGGCGGAGAGGAGTTCGCTGTAACTGAATCGGACCAAAGTATTAGCCACCGGAGAAATACTCTTCTCCAGTGAAAGACCTCTCGAAAAATTCATCTCATTCGTCAATTCTCCTGTCTCATTCTCCAGATTCACAAGCAGAACCGCCTCCGATCCTCCAGACACCGATAAATTCCGATAAGACGACGAAGGTTGCTCCTTTTTCATCTTCTCCAGCTCCACTTGCAAGCAAAGACTAAACCTAAATGAAGACTGCAACGAATGTGGTTCTGAGTCTATAAACTTCGGCTCTGTCTCCGCCAAAAGCCAAGCTTTGTTGTCATCACAGGAGCTGGTACGAGGAAGAAGGAAACAACCAAAACCTAAATCAAGAATCATTTTTCTCAAATGGGTTTTGATTTCAGTATCATTGTCATGAGAATTTGTATTTGTATTACGCTGATGAACATAAAAATTCATTCTTTTCTCTAGGAACTAAAGAAACAAAGAAGGCAGAGAGAAAGTAACAAGAACAATTATCATTTTTTTTGTTTGAAAATGTGAAAAAGAAGATTTTTTTTTTTTTTGGACTTTAAATTCAAATAACATGTTCAAGAGGATGATGAATGAAACCGTCAATGTATTGTTGAGCAAGAAAAAAAAAACAGAGGAGGGGGGAAATAATTGTGAATTAATTAATTATTTTTTGAATTATTGTTAGGATAACAGTTGGATGATATAATTGGGTATAATTAATTATTTGAAAATTGTTAGAGCGATTAATTCATATTTAATATAAGAAGATTAGTTGGTAAAGTTGTTGTTTAATTGCTCAAAGATGGACAAGACCAGAGCCCACGACCACAAAATAGGTTTCTTTTGTGTGAAAGAAATTGGAGATGTTGATGTCTGTTTCCATCTAATGGTTCATTTTCTCTATTGATGTGAGGAGTAACTAAATGATCTTCATAGCTATTATACATCATAGTAATATCTTAAGATATTTAGAGGAATTGATAATGAAAGATACGAAAAAGATTTATAGAAGTAGAGTTTAGAATTCTTACTTTTTGAAGTACAGAATAATTTATCTAAAAAAATGGATTAGAAAGACCAGCTGCTTTAATTATCTACACTACTTAAAAGTAGAGCTTTTTACTCTTCTCAAACAAACCATCCATGTAGGAAGTAAAAACGATTAAACCCCGAATAGAAAAGTTGATATGTGCCACAATGCCGTAATCTTCGATACGATCATTTGCGTTTCGTAAAATTCTCTTGTTTCCATTAACTTATGTTTTTAAGATAATGATAGGTGAGTTTGAGGGATCGTCTAGTAGTAACACTTTTGGACCCGAAAATATATCGAGATCAATGAAAGACGACCATGTGTACATAGTCAGGCTACTAAAATCAGATTTGGAGAGATAATTTGAGAAAAAAATGGAATAAAGGTAGTCAACACGTAGAGGACATAGAGAGCAAAAAGAAAACGAAAAAAGAAAGAGAAGTGAAGTAGCAAATTACCGAGAATGAAGAAGGAGATCGAGCCATTGGCCCATTGGCAAGTCCGTCCAACCGCGACTAAAATGAATTAAAAAAACCTTGTGCTTAGAGTCAAAGAAGTCACGACAAAGTCACAAAACTTAAGATGTTGAGACTATATTGGAAGAAGGAAAAAATGGAAGACGAATTCGCGTAGAAACATTCGCAGAAAATGCAATATGTTATGCGTGTTTGATTTCTCTCCCAATGTTTTGTGTATGTTTTAATTTCGATCATTAATTTGGTGTGAATATTTCATATTGAACAAGTCTTGAATTCATTTCTAGGGGTGAACACATCTTTATTCACCTCCTCGAAAATTGGCCAATAAGAATATGCATGTAATATTACATTTAAAAATAAATAATAAATTAAAATTAAAAGTAAACAAAAAAAAAATTTTAAATTTTTTTTAACGCCATACATCTTCTCGCCGTCTCGTGGTTGGCATTTTCTCCTCAGGATATCACCGACCTACATTGCGTTAACCTAAACCCTAAACTCAAACCGACATATAATCTCGTTTAATTATTAAATCTAAACCCTAATCCTCCTTAAAAAAAACTCAAACATGCATATAACTTTGTTTAATTCTTAATTCTAAATCATAACCGTCTCTTATAAACCCAAACTGACATATGACCTCGTTTAAATATAAAATTTAAACCCGAACTCTTCTTTATAAACCCAAACCGATATATAACTTCGTTTAATTGTAAAATATAAAATCTTTAAAAACCCAACCGGCATATAATCTTGTTTAATTATAAAATCTAAATCCAAACTCTTCTTTATAAACCCAAACAACCATTTAACCTCGTTTAGTTGTAAAATTAAACTCTATCTCTTCCTTATAAACCTAAACTGATATATAACTTTGTTTATAATTGTAACATCTAAATTATAACCCCTTTCGCTTAAAACATATAAACTCTAAGATCAAAAGTGACTTATGTTAATTTTTTTGATCGGTTAGAAAAAGAGGGAGTGAATAAAAGGATATTTTCCTTTTTTGCATAAAGTCCAGAAAACTTTTATTTTTGATTGCTACATCTATTTCACCCTTTTTATGATTCTTTTTTTTTTGGTCAAATCCTTTCAATGATTCAAATCCATGAGTTATAAGTACAATTGTACGACTTTCTAGATAATAACCATCATGTCCGTACAAGTATGTCGGGCCCTTGATAGATTTCTATGATACATAGGTATTATTAGGCCTCTAATTTACGAAGCTCATTTTGTAGAACAAAAATTAATAGAAAAAATAAGTTTAAAAGCCCCATTTTATGAGTAACTTACATATATTTAGGCCCATTTAAAAAAAAAAACAATTTGTTTCATTGTATATGATTTTTTTTTAAAGCCCCACGATTACCTAGAAAAATAAAAGTTAGCAGTTTTTATTTTTTTAAAAGGCTTCAACTTTTTCTTTGTATTGGGCCTCGAATATTACTGGGCCGGTACAAGTTTTGTAATAATCATTTTCACTTGAGAAATCATAATTTCGTGCAGATTATATTATTGGGAGAACCGGAGATCGACGGTTGAGATGATCGCCCAAGATTATGGAAATCATGAAGGATCTAGAAGTTATCTTATCTTAAGTTTAGGAAGTTTAACATTATCTCTAAATATATTATTTACATTTATATTTATCTTAGATTAGGAAATCTCATCTCTATATAAGAGAATGTATCTTGTACAATTATTCTTATGAGAGTCTATTATAATTCTTCCTAAAACACTTTTGTGTTCTTCACTCTCATCAATTTATCATGGTATCAGAACCAAGATCCTTCCTGTGATTGTGGTTCCGTTACGTTAGCTTCCGCCATTATAAAAAAAAAAAAAAAAAAATCTATGTTTTTCTATCTATTATTTCCTCCTCTTATTTTTGACCTTTCTCCATCGTTTCTTCTTTCACGTTGGAGGTTTATTTCTTCTCTTGCAATTATGAGTGGCGAGTCTTCTCCTAAATCATGTTTACTATTACAAAAAAAAAAAAAAAAAAAAAAAAAAAAAAAAAAAAAAAAAAGAAGAAGAAGATGATTGCCGTGACGTTGATATAGTCCGGCGAAGAAGATGAGCACCATGCACGTGATTGTGTAGTGTGTTTTTCTTAATCAACAACTATTGGTGGCTTATTTTATTGATTTAGCCAATGATTGGCAAATTGATTTTGATTTTGGCTAGCAAGGTTGTAAGTTTCTTGAAGACCAAGACATTGGTTTATGAACATGGACCTATTGATGGGTTCGTTCAATCTTCGGCGATGATGATGTTTTCTCGCCCCTTAACATCTTTGTTTAAACTTCTCGCCCTCGTGAGTTGTTTCTCGATCTCGCAATCATGCGAGCTACATCCGAACCTCGCAATCGCGACCTAACGGCTGGGTTTTGTAGCCGCTTTGAACCCTACGACCGGGTATAAACGTCGATGACCTAACGGCTGGGTTTTGTAGCCGCTTTGAACCCTACGATCGGGTATAAACGTCGATGATGACCCGACGGCCGGGTATAAAGCCGCTATTCTGAAGACTTGTCCAATCTCACACGTGTTACCACGTATGAGCTTGCCGGGGGGTATTGGGAGAACCGGAGATCGACGGTTGAGATGATCGCCCAAGATTATGGAAATCATGAAGGATCTAGAAGTTATATTATCTTAAGTTTAGGAAGTTTAACATTATCTCTAAATATATTATTTACATTTATATTTATCTTAGATTAGGAAATCTCATCTCTATATAAGAGAATGTATCTTGTACAATTATTCTTATGAGAGTCTATTATAATTCTTCCTAAAACACTTTTGTGTTCTTCACTCTCATCAATTTATCATATATAGATCATCACAGTATAAATTTTTAGGTTAATCTTCAGTTCTTCCTTAGGTATACTGTAGAATAATGTATATGCCTCCATTATATTTGTGACTTTACAAAGTCCCTCTATCATAATAGCATAAATCCTAATATCAAAACACATATTAGTCTTATGCAACTTGTTGAACGGTTTCAATGGGCTTTCATGATTTCAATTATATATTGTTTCATAATGAATCCATCATAATCTAGTAGGTGCAGATTTATGGTATTAGACGACCATGATAATTCATTTATCTCACTAGTTTTTTTAGTATGCCAAAGTCCTTGTTTTTACAGAACACATCGAGAAGAAAATCATATGTTACAATACTTCGAGTAACTCCAACTAAATGCATAAAAAATATGAGTTCATAGCACATTTTGCCTACTAGGCTACTAGCTTTGGGGCACCCACTGATGGAGTGCCGTACGTTACATTACAATGTAAGGATCATAAACTATCCTATTAAACAATTCGTTGGCCGAAGAAAAGATTTACTTCTTGCAATATTCTTTTATCATTTTAACAAAAAACTTATTAAAATGTGAATCATGCCAACAACACACGTCAATCATACACGCCCGACTGAACTCTTCTCGACCTCCACATCGCTTTACCCATTCATGTGCTGAGGATTGGAGATCGTAGGCCCATTATCTTCTTCAAGAGGAAAACATTTTATCCTTATTATGACTGACTACTGCGCCTAATGCGTCGAGGCGAAGTCGTACACTAAAATACAGTCTAAGGACGTCTAAACTTTTTTTTGTCAAAAACAAATCCCCAAAATAAAAAAAAAAAGTTATTTCAATAAAGACGGATGGTACAAAACACAAATCATTCAATGTTCAAACGATAATGAACTTAAGAGTTTTTTTTTTTTTGTCAACCACACATTTATTAAAAAGTTCCTTGGTTGGTTGCCCAACAATGAACTTAAGAGTTTTGTTTTGTTATATTAATTAATTTTTTGAACCGAACTAAAACCAAATCAAACTAAAACCAAACGGAACCAAACCGAACCGAACATAAACTGACTCAAACACAAACCAAACCAAACTAACTTCGGTTGAATTTGGTTAGAGTTTTATGAGATTCGAATAAACCGAACCGAACCGAACTCAAACCGAACCCAAAGTTAAACCTAAATGCCCACCCCTAATTAATATCATCTAATATCAAACTAGTTTGAGTTTATATATGGCTTGAAAAATTGAAACTAATAAATCTAATTAAACCATGATAAAAAATTAATTTAATAGACCTAGTTACAGTAAGTAACTTTACCGCTAGATTTTGGTGAATTTTTGAAAGAAAAAAAGCATGACAAATTTCGAGTTCTAATGACAACAAAGGAGAAAACTGTTTTACAATGTTTTGGTCTCTAACCCAAAGAATGGGCCGAATGTCCAAAACTTCAAAAAAAGATTATCTACAAAGATATTACTTAACAAAGATAAAATAAAATAGAACAAGTTAGCCTAAAAGTATACAACTATTTTATGGAGTATATTACTAAGTCGACGTGTCGGCTAGAGAAATGAAAGTAAGAAGCAGCTTCTTAGGAAAAATGAATCATCGAAAGAATTGATATATTAGAATTGATCATATATATGGGAATCAAAAAGACGTGTAGATTAGCGGAAGATACGGCGATGCTTTTGCTTCTATGTTTTTTGCATCTCTTAATTAATAAATATTTTTGGGGTTATAAAGTCTGAGTCCATTAATTTCACCTTACTGCCAGCTAACAATCCCGATGAATTACTCATAAATATTGTAATACAACACTTTAATTTACGTTCATTCATTTTTTTTATCACTCCAAAAGATAATGATGTATATGATTTGAGATCCATATAAGTCCCCAACATCGAGATTTTTTCTATTCCAAGCTTTTAAATGAATTACTAAAGTTACAGTGTTGATCATGTGTTTTTTACAGTGCCAAATTAGTTACTTAAACTATATACAATTAAAATAACTTATTTAATTAAAAAAAAAACTTATTAATAAAAATTTCTCACCAATTTTAGTGGTTTAAGTTTTGAGTATATTTATGTATGGTGCGGACTCGATCCAATTGATTAAAATACTTTAAAAGATAGATATTTATGTTCATAGACAATACCATATTTAAAATATTAAAAAAAAAAACTAATGAAAACTGACTTGAAAAACAAACTGAAATCAAGAATCAATTAATCTAAATGTTGAATTCAATACTCTTTTACATTATTGAACAAAAATATGTACTATTTTAAATAATTGATTTCTAATAATAAATGTGAATATTTTCATTGATTAGATTAAAATGTAGTAAATTTTATGATATTAAACATACAACTTTTTCCCTTTTTTTGATTAAGAACTTGTGTAGAGAATAAGATTTCAAATAATTACAATGGATCAAACTCAACTATGAGAAAACAGTGGAATAGAAGCATAAAATGGAACCAGTTGCAGTTAGTACGAAATGTAAGAATATGTGAAAGTATCATAAATATGTAAAATTTAAAAGTTAGAATAACAACATTTTAGCTATTTTTTTCAGATAATCTAACAATAATCAGAAAACATGTAAGGTTTTCAAATATATTAGAATGATTATAACAAACTTGTATATATTAGAACTATTCATCTAGTAGAAAAGTGATTGTCATTATCGTCAAGTATCATAACAAAAAATAAAAACAAAAAGCACGCATTTAAGACTTAAGAATGTTATGTAGTGTCGATGGACAAAATTTGAGTTATACTTGAACATTGGAGTAACATAGATGTCTTTTCTTTTCTTTTTTTCTTTGGTCAAAAGAGTAAAATGGATGTCAACATCTTGAAAGAACAGAGAAATGTGAGAGTCCTTACAAAAACTAAAAACATTACTAGGATTGAGACAATGACAACAAAATAACAAACACTTCTAGTAACCCAGGGAACTATACGTTTTAGGGATGCTAGTCCAATATTGCAAGTTCAATAAAATGGACATAAAATATGTCTAGCTAGAATTCTATGCATTCATAACTTCGAAGCTTCAAACTGATAAGATTAAAAAAATGACGATCAATATTGAGTTTGATCTAATGCCAGCTTCTTTTTCTAATCACTTCAATCAAACTCAATAAATTAAAAAACAAAATAAAATCTTAAGAATACGTCACTAGCATAAATAAAATATTAGACATAACCACTTATATAAACCTTTATCATGACATAACTACACAAAAACATTGTCTCTCTTTGCTTTCCAATAGACAACCTTAAAGCCACTTTTCATCAAGAAGAAACACAAAAACCCTAAACAAAACCACTCATCAAACTTATTAGTGTCTAATGGCACTCGTTAATGACCATCCCAACGAGACTAATTACTTGTCAAAACAAAATTCCGCCTCTTCCGAAGATCTCTCTTCGCCGGGATTGGATCAGCCAGATGCAGCTTATGCCGGTGGAGGAGGAGGAGGCTCGGCTTCGAGCAGTAGCACTATGAATTCCGATCAACAACATCAAGGGTTTGTGTTTTACCCATCCGGTGAAGATCCTCATAACTCTTTGATGGATTTCAACGGATCATCATTTCTTAACTTCGATCATCACGAGAGCTTTCCTCCTCCAGCCATAAGCTGTGGTGGTAGTAGCGGTGCCGGCGGCTTCACCTTCTTGGAGGGAAATAACATGAGCTATGGCTTCACAAATTGGAATCATCAACATCATATGGATATTATTAGCCCTAGATCCACCGAAACTCCCCAAGGCCAGAAAGATTGGTTATATTCTGATTCAACTGTTGTAACCACTGGTTCTAGACACGAGTCTATGTCGCCTAAATCCGCTGGAAACAAACGTTCTCACACGGTAATTACAAATGTCAAAGACTTTTAATTGTGAATATTTTCATATAAGATATCGATGAAAGATCGTTGATATATGTGATCAATTTGAATTATGGATATATAGGGAGAGAGCACTCAACCATCCAAGAAACCGAGTAATGGCGTGAACGGGAAGGCCAAGATTAAGCCAACAACTTCACCTAAAGATCCACAAAGCCTAGCAGCCAAGGTTTGCTTTCTTGACATTAAATTGCATTCAGTAAAATAAAACTCAGTTTCTTAACTCATACTGTATTTGAATTTGTTTTATTTTGTATAGAATCGAAGAGAAAGGATAAGTGAACGTCTCAAGATTTTGCAAGAACTTGTTCCCAATGGTACCAAGGTACACATCCATATAACTATTTATGACATATTTATTAAATTATTTATTCTCATATGATAATAATATTTGTTATGTTTCACAGGTTGATTTGGTGACAATGCTTGAGAAGGCTATTAGTTATGTCAAGTTTCTTCAAGTACAAGTTAAGGTATATTAATTATGACAAACATCCCTCAAATTAATTTTCAAGATTGATTTACCATAATTTAGTGAATTATACGGAACATATATTGATATAAGCTAATGTTTGTTAGGTACTTGCGACCGATGAATTTTGGCCGGCCCAAGGAGGAAAAGCTCCAGACATTTCTCAAGTTAAAGATGCCATTGATGCCATTCTCTCCTCATCACAACGAGACAGGAATTCGAATCTGATCACCAATTAATGAAGGGTTTAATAATTAATAAATCAGTTACTCAACATTAATTACGTACGTTGTAATAATATCGGGGAAAACAATGATTCTCTCGATTATAAATCCCACGTAAATTTTAAAATATGATCCAAAGATTATTTAACTTCAGATTATGTGAAAATCAAGAAGTTCTTAATGCATCTATAACGAAGAGAAGACAAGAGACATTGAATTCACCGATTATCATCAGCCTGATATGGGTCCACACGGGGAGGGAATCTTTAACTAGTAAATAAGTACTAAAATAAAAACATAAATATGTTTTGTTTTTTCTTTTTTTTAATTGTATTTTGTGTGTTTTAGTCTACGGAATACAGATCTTGTAATGGAATTTAAACTCCAAGAAATGAGTAATAAAATTCTCCACTTTTGTATCTTTCTTGAGCTTTCAGTTTCAGAGAATCTATCTTTTTTGTCACCTTTCTATTCTATTTGATCTTTGGCTTTAGTAAGGCTCTTGACCTACATGCTTTTTTTTTTTCTCAATTTTTTTTTTTTTTCTCAAAGAGCTACATGCTTATTTCTTTTAAATTAGCCAAAAGTTTGTCACATATATTATAGGTTCCCTATATTGCAATGCAAAGCTTTTTTTTTTTTTTTTGATAAAGTGTCAATTTTATAATTGCTATGGGGCAAAGAGTTTCTATGTGCAAAACATTTTCACATCCTCAACATGAATAATCAAACATATGCATGGTAAAATGTACAACACAAATATAAAATATCAATAAATTAATGTACTTACTAGTTACTACATATAGTAATAGTAGGGGATTATTAAAGATAACCTATGTTAGAAAACATTAACACAAACTTTTCAATAACAGAAAAAAATCTAACATTTGAAAAACATAAAAAAAAAAAAAACTTTAAGAAAATTACCCTAAAAGAGAAAATACAGCACAAAGTTATGAAACACAAACGATTATATTGGTTTTAATGTAAACCTAGTTTGCATGGCTAAAACTTTATGGCATTGATTGGTAACCACTTTACAAAGCAGTACAAAGCGTTACAAAGTATACAGTTTTAACAGTTACCAATTACAAAAGCGTTACCAAAAGCGTTACAAAAAGTTTTACTCTCAACTTTTTTGTACAGCTTTCTCGTACAGCTCTTTCTTACAGCTTTGCACTATTCCGGAAAAGCTAACAGCTAACAGCTTTTGGTTACCAATCGGACCCTATTTGATATACTTTTGCTACACTAGAAATATGTATTTTCTAAAATATAAACATTTTTACATGAATGTAAACAAGTAAATAACTATTCAACCAAAAGTTGAGAAATCTCAAAATCAGTGATGAATAGCATATCTTTTTTTTTATCAATTAATAGGATAACCATACACTGATACACATCAGCACCTTTATCGTAGAAAATTATTTTCAAATTAAGTTTAAAAGTATATTAATTGATTGGACGACATACCTAAGATCTCGATTTAGCAGCCGAGGTCAGCATGTGTCCTTTGGGAAAGATTAGGGATACGTGTTCGATTAAATTATTTACATTTGAGCTGATATTTAAATGTAAGTCCAACATTATTAAATTAATTAACTACATGATTAGCCACATGGATAATCCCACTTTAGGCGCTGTACTTGTATTTATGTACTTACGAGCTCCATCAAGTCAATAAGACAAACGAAGTTATTAGAAGTTCAATAATTTATTTATTTTATAGTCCATTACATGATTCCATATTTATCTTACTAGACTGGCATTGTGTAGGGAAATGAATGAATTTAAATGAAAAAAAAAAGTTCTATTCGATTTATTTTTTCAGAATTTTTGTAAAATATTATTCTTATTGTACTATATTGCTGGTGAGTATGTAGAAACAGAAAAATTCAATTAGATTACCTTTTAAATGTTAGTATTATCTAAAAATCATTTATTTTAAGTTAGGTTAACCAAAATATATCCACAAGAAAAGAAAAAATTTGACCTTCAAAAGATGGTTTTGAAAAGAAGTTTTGTGCATTGCCCTCCTTACCATCACTCACTGTTAATTGTAACTGGTGCCGAAATTATAAGAATCATAAATAAAGAAATAAAACCTATAAAAAACCATCAACTAAAAAAGTCAAAAAATAATCCAAATCATCCCTAAAGTTTATTTTGGATTAGTTGTAATAAGGACAAGCTCAAACAATGAATCCTATACAAAACGTAATTATTATTACCAGTTTATATTTTTCTTAATAATATTATTTACTTATATATAGATATAAATTTTTTAACTGATCAATGTTTGTTTCAAGAAAAAACATGATCTATATTTTTTCTTTATCTGTTAGTATTATTTTCATTTTTAACATTAAAAACTCAGCTATTTTTTTTTTATCTTTTTTGTTCTTACTGGATAGTTTAACCAATTTTAAAATTGCAATCTTCACTGTCACAACACAAATGTGGAAGGTGGATACCGAAAAAACTGCTAGACTTTTTGTTTCTAGAGCTTGATCTTATTGACTCTGGCCCTAACTTAAATGCATTAATGGTAAGCTACTTTTGTTTCTTTAAAAAAGGATGGTTCTTGTGAGAATTTTTAGTTTCTAGAGCTTGAGCTTATTGACTCTGGCCCTCATATCGTACTGATACATAATTATACGATTACAAAAACCAAATTATCAACTATCATTTTTTATATAACTAATAATTTTATCATTAAGAATCTAACTACGTCATCAATTGATCAAGTTTGAGGATATACCTTTGATGACCCTCCTTGTATAATGGTTAATAATTCCCTCCTTTATTATTTGGATGTCTCCATAATTAAGAACATGTAATTTCATATGCTATTTTTCAAATATAGTCATAAATGCCAAGCCACTTCAGCATACAGTTTTACTTACATTGTTTACTCGATAATTATTATTTGCATTATAGTAAGTATTTTACTCGATATGATCGTTTTATAAAAGTATAATGAAGTTTTAGACAATATGTCATGTAATATGACAAGCTATGTTGTCATGACAGTTGTCTCATGAATGATTTCATTAGCCATTGATTAGTTTGACTAGAGACAAATGTTACATTTTGTTCGAATGAAAAAGGGTCTTAATGTTTTATAACTGAAATTAACTGAAGCTTCATTACATATATGTTTGGCGTCGATGAGTACGACAACAAAATTAACCGAGCCTTTCTCTTCCTTTCTCTAAGTTAATTACATAAAGAACATTTGTTTTTCCTCAAAGTTACTATATATGAAAATAGGACTTCTTATCATTTTAATGCATTTAAGTATTTTGCAAGAAAAAAAAAATCTATTGGGTTTAAAAAGTTGTTTTAGGGTTTCAAATTTGTTTTGAATATGAAAAAGTCCCTATTTCCATAACAAAATTTTAAAAATATCTATTTATATTACTCTTAGTTCAATATCCAATTTCTACTATGAATACACTAATAAGAAATAATTACAAAATAGAAATAAATATTATTGTTCATGGAGGGAAAATAAACTAAGATAAAAATGCACATGCTACATTTTAAAACTAGAAAATATACTCATTATTATTTATATGAAAGGAGTTGAAAACTGTACCTCCCCAAGTCGTATCCTACATATCGAATCACATACAATGTGTCATTAAGAGAATGGCAGGCTGGATTTTGTCATCATAAAGTATGTTTATTGAATGAATTGAACAATTATGATTAATAATACAGAAGGATCCACGTGCACAAAGATTTGATTAATACAACGTGAGGTTTGGATAAATAAAAGGTTTTTTTTTTTTTTTCTAATCGTAGTTCTTGTTTGTCATTCTTATCTTTGTTTCGGCTTCCTAATTCGTTTATTTTAGTAATATGAAAAAAAAAATCAAAAACAAACTTTATCTTATCAGCTTGATGTGGATTATTAAGCTTGATAGTTATATGAGGATATAAAATTATTTTCGGACACTAATCTTTATGCAACACACACACACATTTAATGAATACAATCTAGATCAACCATCTCACATTAATCGAAAGCATAAAAGTAATTAGATGAGTATTGCTATCTCTAAATAAACTCCAAGAGGGGACCATTATGTATAATTAGTATCGTTATAACACATGGCTAATCACATAACAATCATAGTGTATGTTAATAATCTCGATTAATGTGAATGGTCCAAATATTTTTATTTCTTTCTGTAGTTATTGTCATTAAGATCATTTATAGTTCCCGATTCCTTTTATAAAGATTTCTCTCCTTCTCTCTACTAATACCTGTTTCCGCATAATTGCATCTTTAAAAATTGAAACTTTCTTGTATGATTTCTGATTCTACCAAAATAAGTTATGTTCAAAAGATTCGATCTAGTGATCCCAAAATGATATTCGGATTCATTGCAATTTGGTTAAAGAAAACTTTCACTAAAGTTTATAATATAGTTCAACTTGTATTTATCATTTCAGACAACCCGCATTGGTTACTCAAGTTGACCTTTCTAAGCCACTCTTTCTACCAATAGAATATGTTGGAAAATATACTACTTGGTTAATCACATTAATATAAAAGTAGCTAGGTTTCTAAAATGAGCCCCTCAGTGATCGAAAATCTCTATTCTTACAAACTTGCATGCAATTTGAAATAAGTTTATATATGTTAATGTAACTTGATGATATATAAAGGAAAAGAATTTACTGCTATATGTCCTACATCATAACTTTAGAAACTACTGCATTTGAAAAAGATGAACTAATCACTAAATAGGCTCATTCTATGCTTCTATTTTATGTTTGAATTGTATAATATTATATATAGAAGTCTGTATATATTTGTACTTTAACAAAAAAAAAAAAAAAGTCTGTATATATTTGTACATATTTATTTTCTTTCTCAAAAATTGAATTGAATTAGTACTTTCAAGAAATAGGCATATAGAAAACTAGCTAGTATACATAAAAGAAGGAAAGATCAATCATAGCAAAGGAAAAGCGAGAATTTGGACATTTTCTTTGTTAATCATAGTGAAACAAAACATTATATACGTAAACTAA